TCTATTCTATTCTATTCTATTCTATTCTATTCTATTCTATTCTATTCTATTCCATTCCATTCCATTCCATTCTGCTCCTATTCTGCTTCTATTCTTATTCTTATTCTTATTCTTATTCTCTCCAGGCCCTTAATCATCTTAGTTGCTCCTCTTTGCACTTTTTCCAAGTCTCAACATAGTGACCAAAACTGAATGCAGTATTTCAGATGTGGTCTTACTAATAATTTATAAAATGGTAATTAATACTGCTTTACAAATTTAGTACCCCACTACTTTTTCATGGGCTTTTTGGGGGAAGGACGCCCTGATTCTTCACCCCTGAATCACATGGATTTGTGTGGCTCATGAAAGGCTCAGATTCATGCTTATAAGCCTGGATTCTCACAACAGGCTGACCTGTAAATTCTCCAGTTAGTCTAATGTGCAAACCCAGCCCACAAACAAGCACCCTGGGTGGCATCCAAGCCAGGACAGCCTCACAGAAGTTTGCGTTTTCCTTTGTCAAGGCTAGTTGACACATCAATGAAAACACACACAGGAGCTGCATCCCCAAAGTTGTGGAGGTTGCCAGCTCTCTTCCTATGGAGATGGTTGAAATGGAACAGAACGTGCTCCTCTGAAGGAGCTAGTTTGCTAATATTTAAGAAATTAAAATAAAATGCCATTAGTTAAGAAATGTGCTCCAAGCAATCAAGGGTCCAGCTGCAGACACTGCTGGCTTCTTTTGCTGTTGCAAGCAAGCAAACTCCTCATCCCCCCATTTGTGTGATTCCCCCATTTCTCTAAGTCTGCAGTCAAACTCTGGGAGATTTGATTTGCAACAAGAACACATAATCTGCAGGGAAAGGACATTCTCTAATGCCCACAAAAAGCTAAATTGCACCCTCTCCCTTTCCACGGGCTTTCTTCCATTGCAAAACAGACATTGTCTCGGTAGGAAAAATGTGGGCCACAGAACTTTGGGGGGGGGGGGGGAGAAAAGGAAGCTCAGCCAGAAATTCCACCGCAGAATCTGCAAAAGGCCTCCACTGAAGAGAGCTTGTTTGCAAGACTTTAAATCAAAAACAGATGTAGCATCTCTTTCCACTGGGTTTTAGGTTACACTTGGAAGGGGATGGGTTGGGGGGGGGGGGGGGG